TTTCCCCCTCCTTAAAGTTCATTTTCGTAGCACCTTTCCCCTACTGATGCTAGTGACCCCCCTTTGTATGCTAATTACCCCTTTGTTCGAGTTGTTATCACATGTAGGTGTGTTCAGTTAAACACTGAGATTTTCAACATACTACTCTACAAAATGATTTTTTCATATTCTTTTGACAAACTATACTTGACTTTTTTACGGAAAATCATGACAAACTTTAATGTGACTTATTCTTAAATTTGCCATACTAAAGTAAGACTTGAAAATACTATATCGTTGTTTTTTAAATTATATTTCAACATATAAAACAGAACTTTTGTTTGTGTTAACACAACATTGACTGGCTTTTCCTTGATAATTTCAACATGAAATACTATGAGTCAAAGTATAGTTTGTCAGAAAAAAAATATATATATATATGGAAAAGTCATTGTGTACTTAATGTTGAAAAACAAAAACAAAAAAGAAAACTCAATTCATTACAAAATAATGAATATTTTACCAAGTTATAAAGTTTTGCATCCATTAAAGTGTAACTATAAGTATCTTTGTAGGAGAAAAAACAAAAATAATTTAAGTTACTTCCATAAAACTGGATTGTCTTGCCTTTAAGAGTCACAGTCTTAAAGAAAATCTGTTCAGAAAAAAGTACTCAACTTTCTACCAGTTGTAAAGTTGTCATACATAAAACTGTATCCAAAAAGTAAGTGAAAGACAACGGGAGAAAAAAAAAAAGTGTTAAAATCACCAATTTCCCTTTTAGAGTCACAGTCTTTAAGAAAAATACATTTGTTACAAAGTAATTGACATTCTACCAGTTGCCAAATGTTCCTACATAAAAGTGTATCAAAAAAGTATCTTGGTAGCTGAAAATAACTAAAATATCAGAGAAAACCTACATTATTTAACTGTACAAGTGTTTTTAAAAAATAAAAAACGGGGTATTGAAGAAACCCCCATTCCTTACAAAGTACTTCATATTATACCCTTTTGTTAAGTGTTGCATACATCAAAGTGTATCTAAAAGTATCTTGGTAACACAAGAAAAGAGAAAAAAGTCAAAATCGGCCTTGTGTCAGTAAATAAGTGTTAAAAATCACAAACTTGCCTTTTAGAGAAACAGTCTTTAAAAAAAAAAATCTAATCAGAAAATGTACTTCATGTTCTAGTTTTAAGGTTTTGCATACCTCAAAGTGTGTCTAAAAGTATCTTGGCAAGAGAAAAAAGCCATAATCTGCCTTGTGTCAGTGAATAAGTGTTAAAATCACAAACTTATAGATAAGCTAGAGGCTATTTTAGATTTGTCAATTGGAGTTAAAGGGTTAAATAACATTTTCAAACTGCTGTTCATAGTTACTGGATACAGAACGAACCTCATCATTATCTCGATTTTCTACTTCCATTTTTATTTAACAGTGAAACGTCTTATTTTAGTACAGTCTAGTCAGAGGAGTTAATACTATTACTATATATGAAAGCAAAAATAAAACACATTTTCATTTGTTATGGTTGTTTAATTGAAAAACACACCATTCGCCACATTTTCAGAAAGACATATTACATTTGACCAAGTTAATGTCGTAGTGCATACAAGGTAATAGACTTAACGATTTGCACTGCTGCTTCTCTCCGCGTTTCATTTACAGTGATCGGTTTATCGTTCAATTCACATTGCCCAAGTAGATGTTTAGGGGTCTCTTGGAAGTAAATGAATGCATTTTTTATATCAGATAAGTGCATTAACATCACTTGCAAATTCTCTATCCTTTCACCCGCAACGATTATACTATTTACATAATCTAGGGAAGCACACCAGTAAATGTAGCCTCATGTAACTTCATATAGGGATTCTTTAATAGTTGTGTGAAGTAATTAAACAATAAGGGGGTATTAAGATCTTTAAATTATAATTTTCCTCTCAAAGAGACTTCGTTGTATGCACACACACAAAACAACATTAAATAATGACATGATATTATAATGATAAAGGTACTTACCAGAGTTTTTCCAGATCAGATCCAAATCAAGCCTCATTGTCTCCACCCCAGAGTTCCCGTTAGCCGGTAATTACCGGACTATGACCGGTAAAATATGCTGAAGACCGGCAAATCTAAATCTCTCCGGTCAGAATGTCCGGTCAAAATGATATCCCCTTAGCGCAATACCGCATCAGTTGCGCCACTTATGTGACAGACAAGAATAGTATGTGACAGACAAAAGAGTATGTGACAGACAAGAATAGGCAATTATAATGTCTACACATAATGTGGAGAAAGAGATGTCCTGTATGGGTTGATTGCGCGTTGATCTGTTGGTAATGCCTCAGGGTTCCGGTGGGCGTGTAAACAAAATGCATAATGCTGTGCTATACTTTGTGGCCTCACCCCGTTGCATAGCGACGCTTATTGTTTAGGTGTCTTTTAATAAGCAGGTAGTCATATCATTAGCTAGAACTAGCTAGATCTGATCGATATGGACATAAACGCGAGTAAAGTCTAATCTGACGGGAGAGACCAGCTGCTGCTGACGAGTCAACACGCATCTCTGCATGATCCCCTGCAGCGGTGAGCGGAACAAAACACACACTTCAGGTTAGAATATCACACGTAGCTATTTTAATTACCTCTCAAACTACCTAAACTAGTTATAGATTTGTTTAGTTTTACTGTCGGGTCACTCATTATTGGATCCGTGAGCTGCATGATACTGGCGTGTTGTCAGGAGAGGGGGAGAGCGCTCCGTTTATTATTCCCGTGTTATTGTAAATTACTGTACACGTTTGAATAGTTAATTAATCTACTATAATTAGTTTGTTTAATATCATATCATATCAATTTGTTTCAAAGCTCAATAAATAACATAGAAGACCTTTGACCGGCACTTTTCAAATTTTTTCCGGAAGATTTAAACTGTAACGGACATGTTGACCGGACAGGAGGGGGGAGAAGGAGGGGGGGTGGAGGGGGGAGGGGGGGAGCGCTAGACAGGGGGAGACAGGGGGGATGTGACACCTGTACGTCATAAGGATATAACGGGCAGGTGCGATATCGCACCTGCATGTTATAACACCTCGAACAAAGGAGGTCATTAGCATATCAAAGAGGTGTGACCTGTCAGTTTTTTATGCATACTAATGAGACGAAAGCGGGATCATTATTACTACTATTGGGGGACGATTGGACCGTGTCCATTGGACTTACAGCGACATCGTGTTTCATGGCGAGTGGTCTGTCGCCATGGCAACGGCATTTGATGACACCCCATAATATGCTTAGATGCGTTGATGGCTGCATCGTTACCAAACCTGTGAAGTTTTGGGCCGTTTGGAACATTGTGTGTGAGAGAGAGAGTGAGAGAGAGAGAGAGAGAGTGTGTGTGTCTGTGTGTGTCAGAGAGAGAGAGAGAGAGACTGTGTGTGAGAGAGAGAGAGTGTGTGTCTGTGTGTTTGTGAGAGAGAGAGAGAGAGAGTGTGTGTGTGTGTGTGTGTGTGTGTGAGAGAGAGAGAGAGAGAGAGTGTGTGTGTGTGTGAGAGAGAGAGAGATAGTGTGTGTCTGTGTGTTTGTGAGAGAGAGAGAGAGAGAGAGAGAGAGTGTGTGTGTGTGTGTGAGTATGAAATGAACAGTTAGAACTGACTGCTGTCAGTTGGAGTGATGACATCATCGTGTTCCATTACACAGGTGTTTATAGTTGAGCTAACGAGCTCTGTAGAGATCAAAGGTTTGCATTGTTCTGAATGAGAGATAAACCTCTTACATGTGAACGTTTTGTGGAAGAACCATAACAGATATCTGTGAAATTTCAAAACGTGAAGCATGTCAAGGAAGTTGAGTATCTGAAGTGTAATTGTTGTGTACTTTCGGGTTAATAATGTGGCCTTTTTGGCAGTTTAACTAAAGGTGTGCGGCTGCTGCTGTGAGTAAATATCAGCCTGAAATTACAATGGGTTTTAATGGAGACATGTTGAACGTTTTTGTCACTTCATGCCCTCAAGAGGCATTTTGTTTAATTATTTTTGCTTAATTATTTGTCATTTTTCAAGCTACGAGATGTTTTCCTACGTTTGTCATGAAAAAGTATGTCTCAGGAATGTAGGGTTTGGGAATTATGGCAGTTTTAAAAAAAAATATGAAGGCAAATTTCAAGATTTCCTACCCTCTAGCTGTGACATCACGCACTCTAGTTAATGTTAAAATCTGAAGAAAGCCTCTTTACCAAGGTCTGAACAATGTTTAATATCTCTAAAAGTAAGAATCAGATTTAAAAGTTGTGTTACACGAATAATGTCAGAAAGATGTGTAACATTTTAAAGTTGGAATGAGGTTTCTGAGTGAAAGTATGAATGAACAGTTAGCAGTTGAAGTCGCATGAAGATTGTTCAAGTCTGAAGATTTTCTCCATTGACTTCAATGGTTAAAAATGTGATGAATTATGGGATGTATCTCTGGAATTATGAAAGTTATGACAAATCCAAATGATAGCCATCGATTCCCGACCAAGCTGAACGTTTTGATGTTTGAACGGAGTTTCTGCGATGTTGAATGTAGGAGGAGAAGAGGTGCAAAGTTCCGGCGGAATAATAATGATTTTGTCCGTAGAAGAACATATAGTTGGAATGCTGTATCAGCATTCCCACTAAATAACTTGGAGAAACAAATCTCAAAGGTGCCTTCACACAAAAAAAATGCCCCGCTATTAATAATGAAAAAGGGCTTTTTAATAATAAACAAATGCCTCTTATAAAAAAAAGAAATGTATCTTAGATTATAATGAAATGTGTATGAAGAGCATTCATATGAGAAAATCATATGCCTTTGTATGAGGTGTTCATACACAACTCAGGGAAATTGTGATAGCTAAAATGAACTGGCAAAAGGGAAATAACAACAAGAGCCAAAGAATGATGGACCGCCCCAATACTGAAAGACATAAAACATCTCAGCACTTGCCATGAAGTTATGAAGCTCTTATTGATGCTTTCGCCTGTGTTTCCTTTGTCCCAGGACGCCCTGGACTCGTACTGCTTCGTGCTGTTCGCCTGCATGTGCCTGCTGGCTTCTCTCTACACCTTCTTCCTCCTGCCGGAGACTAAAGGGAAGACCCTGCTGGAGATCTCAGAAGAGTTTCAATCCATCACCGTCTGCGGGAAATCCTTCTCAGATGAAATAAAGGCAGCGACCAGGCTATGAGTCAAGAAACGGTGACAACAAGGACATTATTTATGCTTATTTATACCCTTTTTTGAAATACAGGAAGCTAGATTTACTTTGCCACTGAAATGCCAGGCTAAAATGGTTTATTATGAAATATTGTATGAATTGTTTCCTATCAGCATTTGCTGTTGATACAGTAGCATGTCATCAAGCTGCAAGTAATATCCAAAAGATTTAATTACGCGCCCATTTCCAAAGATTTAAAGGTTTTAAGCTTTTAAGGCTAGTATATTCTCTATACATATATAGATAGTATAGTACAGGGGTCGGCAACCTTTTTGATATGAAGTGCCATTCTAAAAAAAATGTTTTATCAGCGTGCCGACGATTGTGAATTATCAAGGGGGGGGGGGGGGTGTTGAAGAGCTCGACGAAAACACTCGTGAAAAGTGATGTTTAAAACTCAGTTAATGGGGCTCATTCACTGGCGCTTCCACAAACAACAACCAACATAATTGTTACATTCAAATGAAGTAGCCTACATTATTCAAGTTTACATTAACTTTGGATAATAACACGGGAGAAATGAGCGGAAGCGCTCTCTTTTCCTCTCTCCCCCTCTCTCTCTCTCCTGACAGCCTGTCAGTATCTCATGCAGCTCACTGATCCAGTAATGAGTGACAGTGAAGAATAAATATATTTATAACTAGTTCCAAAGGTAGATCAAATAGCTAAGTGTGTTAGGTCTAACTCTTGTGTGTTCTGCTCCGCTCACCGGTCCGTCACAGCGGGTGGAGCTGCAGGATTTCTGCTTCACACACGTTGCATACCGCTATTTTATTGTCTTTTTCGGACACCTTAAAATACTTTTTGGCGAGCTTGTTTTGCTGCACACAGAGAAAAGTGTCATGTATGTTACGTCTCGCGATCGGCCTTTTTAAGGCCCTGACACACCAGGCCGTATTCGGCCGTCTTCGGTTGTCTGGCGACAACGCGTTCCTTGTCGCCCAAAGTCAATTTGGTGTGTCCCGAACCCTTGGCCGTGACACGCCTTATTTGGCCTTTCACGGTCGACACATGGCCGATTCAACATGTTGAATCGGCCAAAATACGGACACAAGCTATCGGGCCAAGAAACCACTCTGATCAGCTGTTCAGCTAGCAAATGAGAAGCGAAACGGAAGTGAGGGACGTAAACAAACGATTTAAAAAGGCACAGGACAGCAGCTAAACCCCAGCAGGTGATACTTAAAAGACATCAAACATAGCCCTTAAATGTCCTCTCTTACCTCCCACACATAGCAGGGACATCTCTGATATCGGCGGGAGCGTCCCCGGCTGTCCTCTGCTGAGAGCTCCGTGATTTGTTTGGTCAAGTCCGGTTTTTCATCTCATCGGTTTATTTGTCAGTATAAAGTTGCAGGATTAGTCTCAAGTACCTCAACATTGTCCTTAAGTACAGTGTCTAAGTAAATGAGATACTGTCTACTGCTGTTCATTTACCTATTGTGAGTCGCCTCGGATAAAAGCATCACATGGAAATGTAAATTTAGCAAGAAGTGGCCATTATTACATTACTACATTCATGGGCGTAATTTCCACTGGGGACAGGGGGGACATGTCCCCCCCACTTTTCAAAATCCCATTTGTGTCCCCCCCACTTTTTAAATGTGTTTATTTTTATTTTTTTACGCAAGCGGTCATCGTCAAGGAGGAGCATCTGTGTGTGTGTGTGGCACGAGCGCATCTTGTGAGAGAGATAGAAAGAGAGAGAGAGGGGGTTGTTGTTAGCATTTGGTGCTAGCTCGGAGCTAACGGAGATTAGTAGCTGTTTCAACAATAAGGAGAGGGAGAGCTCTTTCCTGTCGGACTTTGAGAGACTGAGAGAGAGAGACAGACAAATATATAGAGAGAGAGAGAGTTACGTGGGTTGTTGTTAGCATCTGGTGCTAGCCCGGAGCTAACGGAGATTAGTAGCTGTTTCAACAATAAGGAGAGGGAGAGCTCTTTCCTGTCGGACTTTGAGAGAGTGAGAGAGAGACAGACAAATATATAGAGAGAGAGAGACAGAGAGACAGAGAGAGAGTTACGTGGGTTGTTGTTAGCATCTGGTGCTAGCCCGGAGCTAACGGAGATTAGAAGCTGTTTCAACAATAAGGAGAGGGAGTGCTCTCTCCTGTCGTAAAACAGGTTCACATGGATAGGATACTAGATAAGTGTGCACACTCATTATATACACTACACATTTTTCTTGGATTTGTTAACACTATAGTCCCTAATATATTTGTAGAAAGGCAGGAAATGGAATTAAATCGAGAATGTTTCATTGCGGAGGACCCCCTGTTTTGTGTCGCCCCCACTTCTCAAACCAAAGTTACACCCTTGACTACATTGCTGACTCAATAAACTACACACCCGCCAGAACACTGCGATCATCAGATGCAGGTCTATTAACTGTGATTTTATAGTATGTCTGCACTTTATGTGCTCATTTCATCATTCATGTATTTTTATATTCTAAAACATGTTTTCGATGGACGAGAGTGAAAATGGAACGCACACGCTATTTGTTTGTTTATATCAGTCTGTTCTTCTTCTCTGTCTTCCGGTTGTTGCCTATTTTGAATGACGAATACACACTACCGCCGCCTGCTGGTAAGGAGAGTTATTGCCACTCACGCATGCGCAGTTCGTACGTGCTCGGCTGAAGTCTTTGCGGTGTGTTCCAGTGCGACACATGGCCAAGACGCAGGAGAACTCGTCGATGTAACTGTCGGTGTCGGTGTCGGCGTGTTCTCTGGTGACTGCCTGGTGTGTCAGGGCCTTTAAAGAGAGTGGGGCTGCATTGCGTGCATGGCTTCCTTCTGCAGGTAACGGGGAGACACGCTCTGGCGGCGGTCTCGTTCAGGATCCGAAAATAAAATAAATATTTTGTACACTTATTCCACTTATTCCTAGTGTGCCACTGGTTACGGTGCCGCATGCCATTGGTGGCACGCGTGCCAGGGGTTGCCGACCCCTGGTATAGTATGTCGAAATGTATTCAAAAGAAGTTATAGTATAGTACACTTTTGCCTATAAAGTTGGAATAATTTAGTTTTCAGACACATTCCTCTTTTTCCTCCAATTTACACACACAATCATTTCTTCAGAGGTGAAACATATTTTATTCCAACTTTATAGACAACAGTGTATGTTGTATAATACGTCAAATATAGTATACTACTATGTATTAAAATATGTAAAAGATCATTGCATAGTGTGTTAAATATATCAAGAAGAAATATAGTTTTTTTTAAATACAAAAAAGTCCCAGTAAAGTACAGTATGTTGAATACAATTACAACATCCAAGTCTAGTGTGTTGTATATATAAATTAAATATGTATATAATAAGATGAAGAAAGAAAATAGCAAATAGCAATAGGTTGAATAATATGAAATGTTATCCGCCCAGAGAATTCCCGCTGGTTCTGTTGCTGCAGTTTACCTGCTTTCAGATGCATATAAAACAATGCACTTCACGAATGCTTTATCGTGTTTTTATACCATAAATCAAACAGAAAAGCTTTCGTTATAAAGAGTAATAAAAAACGTTGTCATGAAGCCAGGATTGTGAGGTGTCTGCTGGTTACTTTATTTCCTGCCAGTTGGTCTGAAAAGTTAATGATAACTTTCCTCAAATGCTTAACAGAGTCCGTATAGTCTGACCATTTATTTTAAGTCCATGCAAGTGAAGACAGAATGGGGAGCTTTCAACAACTGAAACAACTGGTGAGCTACATCTGAATCATCTTTACAATCATCATCTTTATAAATGTATATATTCATGTATAGCGTATAAGCCATAACAAAATGTGTTTGTGTGAATATCTTTTATAAACATAACTATTTTATTTCTAGACTAAACATTTTGATTCTGCTCTAAAAAAACGTTTAATATCAGGAGAAAAATAAAAACGTTTTTTTAGGCAAGCAGGATATTTTTAAGCGGTCCGATTGAAGCGCCTCATTCAAACCCAAGATTAAGCTGAGTCATTGCACTTTGTCAGTTTCTGAATACATTTTGAACTTATCAGTCAATGCAACATGTAGGAAAGGGAATAAACACATTAAGATTTAAGCAAAAGAGATATTGATATACATATATATGACATTTATTAAGTATAATATCATTTTAAAATCAAGTAGAAAAAGGTTTAGCAGTTGTTATGACATGTAATCTTGTTGTTATGTCACACATGCAGGATAGCGACACCTTAAAAATATGCTGATTTTATGGAATAAAATGTATTTCTGTAAATCCCAACAGTACATAAAGTTATAATAATGATCAAAAACCCTTTAGCAACTACAGCAATAAAGCAGTAGTATTTATCCCATAACTTCATATTATAGTAAAACAAATGTTTTCAATAAAATACTACTTTTGCTTTTTTATTATTTCAGTTAATTTTGCTCACATAATGATATACTTTATTAACAATGGGGTATTATTCATTTTACTAATAAAGGTATATAATAAAGGAGGCTAAAAGTGTTCACCAATAGACTTGTCTGTGTCTAATCACTATTCCCTCTGCTTTGTAGACCCGTGGTAATGCTCTGTTCCTCATCATCATACTGGGAATTGGAGGAACCTTTCAAAATGGCTACCACATCACCGGATTGAGTTCTCCCTCACCGGTCAGATTCATCACTTGCATCACTATTGTTTCTTGCTCTCTGTTGAAACCCCCTACACCAAATGTTTACGTCCGTCACTGTATGTTTGAATGTGAAAATAATAAGCAATTTAAAATGTTCAAGTTCCACATGCAACATCTGCTTCCAAACTTGCAGTACATTCAGCGCTTCATCAACAGCAGCTGGTACGACAGATATGAAGAGCCTCCGCCTCCACAGACGGTCACCATGATCTGGTCCCTCATCGTCTCCATGTATGCTGTCGGGGGTCTCTTTGGTGCCGTCAGTGTCAAACTGATCTCTGGCAGGTTTGGAAGGTAAATAAGAGACACCCACTGCAAAAAGCTGTCCTTTCGCCTTAAAACACCTCACTGAATTATGTATTTCCTAACCAGAAAAAAAGCGATGATCAGCAACAGCATTATTTCCATTGCTGCAGCGGGGGTCATGCTGGCAAGCAAACAGGCTAAATCATATGAAATGATCATAGTGGCAAGGATCCTGTATGGCTTCTCTGCAGGTAAGCTATCAGGACTTTCTCTAAAATAAACAGCACATCATGTTTTCACCTGACTCATGAGATCGCATGACTTGCAGGTTTGGGATCCAGCACCCATGTAATGTACCTGGGGGAGATTGCTCCCATAAAGATAAGAGGGGCAGTGACTCTAACATCAGCCACTTTTGGCTCTCTTGGTAAAGTGTTTGGACAGTTTTTTGGATTGAGGTTTGTACCTTTTGTCTATACGTGGGAAATGACAACAGTAGTTAGTCATCTTATTCATATCTGAGAATTGTGCATACAAAAACACAACATTGTGAAGGGTAGAAATGCAGTTTTTATTATTGTTATTAAGTTTTTTTTTTTTTTTTCAGTGAGATCCTAGGTCGCGAGGACCTGTGGAACGTCGTCCTCTGTGTCCCTGCGTTCTTCTCACTGGTTCAGGTTTTGGTGTTGCCTTTTCTCCCGGAAGCTCCTAGATACTTATTCATAGAGAAAGGCGATGAAAAGGCATGCAAAAAAGGTTAGTATTATCCCATAAATAAATGCATTACAGTAACCAAAACAGTCTTTTAAAGTCTGAGTAATAAAAACAAAGCAATGCACTACATGAAATTCTGCTTGTAATATTTGAGGATGAGGTTATTGTGCACAAAATGTGGACTCTTAAAGCTTAAACCGAGCATTTCAGTCGTAATACAGGTTAATTCAAACAGATAGTATGAGAAAATAATGTGTTTTTTACAGAATAAAGCATGTAATCATGCTTTATCAAGTATGAACCACATATTTGCTAAATATGCCCCTTCATGGTCATGTGACAGTGTAGGTTGTGGTTTCCCAACACATTTTGGATCATTGCCTTTGTTTCCTTCTTCTTTTTTGATATTTCATATCCCTTTAGGAAACACACACTCCTATACAAAATCTGTCTTGAATGTGAGCAAAGGAACAGCTTTTTAGTGTCTGTGTCTTTGGTCTTTTTCCTCCCAGCTCTCCAGAGTCTGTGGGGTCAGGGTGACTACGAACAGGAGATGGACGAGATGTTGGCGGAGCAGGCAGCCATCGATGCAGCGCCACCAAAGACCCCTCTGCAGCTGCTAAGGGACAGGACCGTCCGATGGCAGCTTCTCACCATGTCCATCATCTTCTGGTCCAACCAGCTGTCGGGCATGTCTACGGTAAGGATGGAATCACGGCATCCAAAAGAGCTTTAATCATCTTAAACAATACGATTATCAACCAATGCTTCTCTCTTTCCCAGATCAGTACTTTCTCTTTTGACATATTCCTGAAGGCAGGCCTACCGAGAGACCAAATCCGCTACGTAACTCTTTGTCTCGGAGTGTTTGAAATCATCACCTCCATCACCTGTGTGAGTGAACATGAGCTCCTTATCTCCACATCTTCATTGCACTCATGGCTTAGGCCCTCTTTCATGCCCAGGATAACCATTTTTGTCAAATTTTAAAACCTTTTTTTTCTCTCCCAGGGCCTATTGATGATTGAGCACATTGGGAGGAGGCCGTTGTTCTGGGGCGGTTATGGTGTCATGGGTGCCAGCTTGGTGTTTGTCACTGTAACGCTCAACCTGAAGGTAAACCTTTAGACACGGACATCTACACAGCTGTGTGAGAGGTCAGAAGATACTCTTTAAAGGGTCATTTTACCCACCTGAGCACATTTTCTTAGCCTTGGTAGTTTCAAGACATTCAGACTTTGAGATATCTTTGAGATAATCTGAGGAGGACTGAAGGACACACTCACTGGAACTACTTTCAATCAAAGAAATAGTCCCTACTACAAATTACATTTTATTGCGGTGGATGCTGTAACTGACCTTTTCAAATGTGACATGTAGCAAATGCAAGCTGTGAAAGTGTATTTAAAAATAAACGTCTTACCTTTGATTGTTGCACTGTGCAAAGGCAGCCATTAATTAGTGGGAATGCTGATACAGCATTCCCACTATCTGTTCTTCGACGCACAAAATTCTTTATTATTCCGCCGGGTTATTTTGTACCTCTTCTCCCACATTCCACATCGCAGAAACTCCGTTCAAACCTCAAAACGTTCAGCTCGGTCGGGAATCGATTGCTATTACTTTTCTCATTCATAACTTTCATAATTCCAGAGATACATCCCATAATTCATCACATTTTTAACATGGAAGTCAATGGAGAAACGCTTCAGACTTGAACAATTTTCATGCAACTTCAACTGCTAACTGTTCCTTCATACTTTCACTCAGAAACCTCATTCCAACTTTAAAATGTTACACATCTTTCAGACATCATGCATAGTAAACAACTTTTAAATCAGATTCATACTTTTAGAGATATTAAACATTGTTCAGACCTTGGTAAAGAGGCCTTCTTCAGATTTTAACATGAGTGTGTATTGCGCAGCTCGTTAAGGCTAGAGTGCGTGATGTCACAGCTACAGTGGAGGACAGCTTGAAATTCGCCTTCATATATTTTTTTTAAACCTGCCATAATTCCCAAACCCTACACTCATGAGACATAATTTTTCATGAGAAACGTAGGAAAAATTAAGCAAAACAATTAAACAAAATGCCTCTTGAGGGCTGAAGTGACAAAAACTTTCAACATGTCTCCATTAAACCCCATTGTAAGTTCAGCCTCATCTTTCCCCACAACAGCAGCCGCACACCTTTAGTTAATCTGCCAAAAAGGCCACATTATTAACCCGAAAGTACACAAAAAGCACACTTCAGATGCTCAGAGTTCTTGAGATGCTTCATGCTTTGAAATTTCACCGATATCTGTTACGGTTCTTCAACAAAACGTTCACATGTAAGAGGTTTATCTCTCATTCAGAACAATGCAAATGCTCTCCTCTCACTGATTACGGCACATCACCATGGAAACCTTTGATCTCTGGACACGTTGTTAGCTCAAATATAAACACCTGTGTCATGGAACACGATGATGTCATAACTCCAACTGACATGCTCAGAGCAGCAGACTTCAGATAATGGTTAATGGTCCAGCCTTCAACATGTCTATGTGCCATTAGTGAGTTTTCCTCAAAAGCTGTTGCCATGGCAACGCGTCCCTCGCCGTAAAAACACAATATTGCTATAACTCCTATGAAAATGGTCAAAAAGTGCTCAAACTTCACATGTGTTCTAACAGTCCAGCCGTGAAGACATCTATTTGACAGTTTTAAGATTTATTCAAATGCCGTTGCCTTGGCAACACAATGCTCACTATGAAACACGGTTTTCTCACAACTTCAGTTCAAATGCTCGAAATGGCCCAAAACTTCACAGGTTTGGTAACGATGCAGCCATCAACACATCTAATGGCGCATTTCCATTGCAGCGCGTAGCTCGCTTTAAGCGTGCCGTGTCGTGCCGTCCCCTTTTTTGGTTGTGCTTCCACTAGGCCTCGTTCCGGCGCGGCACGGCGCGGGGCCACTTTTTCCCCTCTTTTCTGGCCCTAGAAAATTGTGGTTCTATCGGGGCCAACAAACAGGGCTGAGTCGGGCTGAGTATGCTAAACTAGAGAGAGGAGCGCTGGCAAGAGGGCTAGAACTACAACAAGATGGACATATTTGACCGTGATTTAATTGTAATACACGTTTCAAAATGATGCCGAAGTAACAACATACTGATACCGGTTAGTAAAAACCATGAATTAATGCTTTGTCAAGTCTGCAGACAGACGGCAGGCGAAAAACCTTTTAAAATTCGTGTTTTTCTAGATGGAGATTGGCTAAGCTAACGCAGTATATGCCCCGACCGTCCACACTCACAACAACGGCCTATACAGACATAAATTAAGCAGCGACTGTATTCACCATGACACAGGCAGTCTGTGGTGTGTACTTGTTTAACTTTTGTCGAGTTTCTGAACATATATAAGGAGCTGTGAGCTCTGAGTGCTCACAGCTAACGGCTGTGTTGTGTTTCTGGATTTCTCATTGAAGATGACGTCACGGCTCCGCCTACACTGCGTTACTACCCAGTTCCTAAACTGTAATGGAAGCGCAGCATGAAGTGAGTCGGCCCTGTTAAGGCCCAACGCGGCCAAGCCGTACCGAGCCGTACCGAGTGTGGCCGAGGCCGACCGTGTAGTGGAAATGCGCCATAAGCGTATTATGGGGTGTCATCAAATGCCGTTGCCATGGCGACAGATCATTCGCCATCAAGTTAGTTCAAAAGTTTGCAGTTCAAATATTCTGCTGCTTTTCCAAGCCTTTTTACTTTCTTTTCTTCTCTCATCACACATTCAAGCCCCCAGTGTTCATGTATCATTTCAATCTAAATTCTTCACTTTCTTCTTACACATTACATTTCAGCATAGCAGTTTAGCGTCAGCTTTTCAGCATAAAGCATTCCCACTAGCAATTTCTTCAGGAATTGCATTCTCTAGTTTGAAATGATCTTGATTTTTAGTATAGCAGACAGTTCTAATATTCACATGCAACATTTTCTTCTCATGCAGGATTCCAGCGAGTGGGTTCCATACATCACGGCTAGTTTGATCATCCTCTTCATCATCTTCTTTTGCGGAGGACCTGGTAAGTTTCCTACAGCAGTTAAGGCCCCAGCCACACGGAGACGAAAACGAAAACAAACCGAATTCGATATCAAAAAAGTCTTCCGTCCACACGGAATCGGCTCAAGAAACGTGTCCGTCCACACGAGACCGCTGGAAACACTGTAGTACATATGCCGGGCCTGTAAATACACCAAAAGCAGCGAATAAGACCCCCCGAGCATGGTTGCCATGCTTGCCTGATTGCCCTTCTGTTTATTCTCCGCGGTGGATTTAGCAACATGTAGTTCATGTAGTTCTCCATTTCCACTTGTTGCTGATGGTTGTGGTAGAGGAGCTGTAGATTTTGCACTAACATCTGTAGCATGGTCAGTAGAGTCTGGAGCACGAAAGCAACCCTGTGATCCGCCATTGTTGTTGTTGTTGGCGAAACACATCAGCAGTGACGCGGGGGTGAGCAGCAGAGGTGGGGAGAGGCGGGGCTATGGCGTCATCGTTATCAGGAAATGATCGTATAGGGCATACACACAGAGCCGTTTGGCCCCCCAGAGCATTGTGTCCGCAGATCTACCCACCTTGGGAGCTGTTATCGTTAGCGTTATCGTTATCTGCGTTTCCCTGTCGGCCTCGTGTGGACGAACTGTCTATACGATAGAGAACTGTAGCGGATACAACCCGTTTCGTCTCCGTGTGGCCTAAGTTTAAGACGTTTATATATAATTAACACCTGTATGTCTCTGCTCTCTCAGGGGGAACCACAGGTACTCTCCTCAGTGAGCTCTTCATCCAGAGCGACCGAATGGCAGCTTTTGTCCTCATTGGGTCCCAACGCTGGTTTTTCTTTGCTTTGCTGGGACTAGTCTTTCCATTCCTTATTGTGAGTACTGCAAATCTGCCAGGATTTGCAGTTGTGTATTTGCTCATTTACAATAGAAATATTATTTTGTGTTTTATTTTTAGATTTAGTTGTAAAACTTGAACAATCAACAACAGATGAAATAACTTTCTGGGTGTGGTAATTATTTATATATAATTAAACTCTCTGTGTCATATGGTGCTGTGGCTAAACTGATTGGCCAGTTTTAGCTGATCTTGAAGACTCCTAAGAAATAGTTTCCAACCAAAAAAAGATATAATAACTTGGAGAAACAAATCTCAAAAGTGCCTTCACACAAAAGAAATGCCCCGCTATTAATAATGAAAAAGGGCTTTTTAATAATAAACAAATGCCTCTTATAAAAAAGAAAAATGTATCTTAGATTATAATGAAATGTGTATGAAGAGCATTCATATGAGAAAATCATATGCCTTTGTATGAGGTGTTCATACACAACTCAGGGAAATTGTGATAGCTAAAATGAACTGGCAAAAGGGAAATAACAACAAGAGCCAAAGAATGATGGACCGCCCCAATACTGAAAGACATAAAACATCTCAGCACTTGCCATGAAGTTATGAAGCTCTTATTGATGCTTTCGCCTGTGTTTCCTTTGTCCCAGGACGCCCTGGACTCGTACTGCTTCGTGCTGTTCGCCTGCATGTGCCTGCTGGCTTCTCTCTACACCTTCTTCCTCCTGCCGGAGACTAAAGGGAAGACCCTGCTGGAGATCTCAGAGGAGTTTCAATCCATCACCGTCTGCGGGAAATCCTTCTCAGATGAAATAAAGGCAGCGACCAGGCGATGAGTCAAGAAACTGTGACAACAAGGACATTATTTAAGCTTATTTATACCCTTTTTTGAAATCCATAAGCTAGATTTATTTTGCCACTGAAATGCCAGGCTAAAATGGTTTATTATGAAATATTGTATGAATTGTTTCCTATCAGCATTTGCTGTTGATACAGTAGCATGTCATCAAGCTGCAAGTATTATCCAAAAGATTTAATTACGTGCCCATTTCCAAAGATTTAAAAAAGGTGCTGGGGCGCATCTCCAAATGATTCATTCTTTCCTATTCCATACTCCTCAAAATTATCCCAAATAAACAGTCTCATCATACAATTACAACAGCTTGAAAAAGCTAATTGATTTGTTCATTTCTACTTCACTCAATCAGGACAAGTTAAAGATGAGTTTAAGATTAATAACTTTACTGATATTACTGTATTTTAAAACTGCAAAAAGAGAGCCATCACTTCTAAATAACTGAAACTGTTGTTGTGTTGGGTACCCGTTCCTGATGAAACTGCACCTGCAGCTGCACTCTGTTTGTCACTGTGAGGTCAGTCGTTTCCTTTCTCCAGCTCTCCAGCCATAAATCATCCGCTGGTCCCTTTGGGTTCAGCTGTCTGTTCTTTGACCACTGCAGGAAATGAAATTAATGGAAACTGTTCCACAACATTGTGAGAGGCCATTCCTCTATCTTTCTTTTGTCTCTCAGGGCCGGCGGATTGAGCTCAAAGGGGGGGGTGGCGGTTATTTGGAGGCATGTTGGCGACCTTGGTGTTAATCACACTCACACTGAAGTTCAACAACTTTATTTTTACTTTTATAAGCTACCATATTCTTTAAGGAAAATCACTTTGAAATGTCAGGGTTACGTGACGTTGTCCATTGGTTTGGTCAAGTTGGCCATTTTGACGTCGCCACCAGAAGTGACCCGAGAGGATGAAGTTAAACAGAACGGAAGACCTTTTTCAGCTAACAAATTGTTATCATTAAATCTTACAAATTGAGAACACACCGTAAAGGATGAAAACATGGACAATGACCAAAACCTTACAACACTGTGCTATGACTGGGCCACTCTTATTGTCTAATTTACTTCAACTGGAACTAGAAACTAGCCATAAAATCATATTCAAATTGTTAATTTCTGTTTGAATCTAAGATGCAAGGCACTTCTGCACTCGCTTATCAGATCTGAAATTGTAACCTAAAGTTGGCCAAAATTAGACACCATGAGCTAGTGGTCATTCCAGAAAGGCTATGGTAGCAAAACCTCTGAGTATTAAATTAAGCAAAGTTTTATCCGTAAACAAGAGGAAGTAGGGTTATTTATCCTCTTCGGAGTTATAGTCTTACGTTTTGTATTCAACGTGTGGTACTCCTTACTCGTTAAAATGACTCAAACTGAAGGCTTTTTTTTGTATTTGCTTTTTCTCATCTTTTAAGGACATATTGTGTGTAGGCCTTGCTTGCTTATACAACATGCATTATGCTTATGTACCGCATTGTGTCAGCATGTTTTACCCCCTTACACCAAGAACACTATAATACAGGATTGTGAACTGGACAGTTTCTTCCTCAGGATATTTTCTCCACTATCAGTGAGCCTTTCTCCTAGTCATTAGTATTTCCTCCATCATTAGTGTGAATTCTGCAAACCACACAGTAAGTCCTGGCCGGTGAGTCCTTCTCACCCCCAGTTTGAGTAACTCAGTGGCTATAATGAGATATATATAGTCTATATACGTAAGTGTTTGAAGGTCTCCCCTTCCTTATCACTATCCAGCAGCTGCTAGCAGCCACAGGGGCTTCAAAAGCTGCCAAACTCACTCTGTCCACACTTCAGCACGTTGGGGATGCGAGCTGTGATTGGCAGTGTCTTGGCTCGGCTGATCATCCTGGACTGATGTCCTGCTGTGCCTTGTTAACACTGTAGGAGGATTAGCTGGAGGATTAATTGGAGAAACCATTGTGAGATGTTTACCCATGCAGACCGCATCCAATCTGTGTTTTTTAAATGCATTTGTGTCCAGTTTAAAATATATTGAAGGTAATTACATGAATTTGTAGTGGACATTTTTGAGAAACATGCCGAATTAAAGCTGCAAGCCGTGATAAACGGCTCCTCCACATCCACATACTGGCAGGACGCTGCTACCACTGCGGTGTATTGCCGTGACGATAGAGTGTGTTGCTCTGAAATTGACATATTGCACATCTTGCACTACTTCATGTGTCCACTATGTTATGTTACTGTATGTCAATGTTACTCCTCAGGTTGGGACTCTTATCAATAAGACATTGGGAGTGGTTTGGAGAAGATACTCCGGTGTAATAAGAACTTCCTCTTTCATTGCGAGTGTCTCAAAATATACTGCAAGGGGTCCTTCATGTAATAAAAAGCTTTTAATAACTCTTGATACTCAATGTGTTTAGATGGTACTAACCAATTTTGAACTTGGATTAAATGGGTAGGAGAAATTTGTTAAAAAACAGAGCCTGATCTAAATAACGCAAAAAAATCACACTAAATTCAAAATGGCCGACTTCCTGTTGGTTTTAGACGATGACCACAAGAAACCCTTTTTTAACGTTTAAATGAACACCCTCAAAAAGACCCTAAAACATATGATTGATTGGCCCTCAAAGGCCCTCAAAACGTGATATAATAACTTTGACCCGACTTTGTCAGTGCTCAGGTCATTAGAATAATTGAGCAAAGGTAAAGGGTGTCTCGGTCTCAGAGGCTTTGGTTTACAGGTGTAATGGCTCCCTTACATCAACAGGTGGCAATGTTTATCTTCTGCCGAGAGGCTCCACACTGATCTGGCCTTCACATGCACATTCACACCAACACCAAACAATAACTGTAGCCCATAGCAACCAGAGCAAGTGAGCTGAAACTCACAAACGTCACAGATGCTTGAAAGGAGCTGATAGAAACTCCATGTGAAAATGTGCATTTACTATTTTGATTTAGGTTTTTTATTTGAACACGTGGTAGCCTACATTTTAACCAGACTTTGTAGCCTACTTCAGTTAAAAACATTTTATTATTAAAGCAATCTGCTCAAAACTGTCATTTTCAACTTCAGCCATAGGGGAATTATAATAGAAGGTACATTTGTGTATATGTTAAGTGATATAAGCCTACTGGTATTTAAACCATACCATCTAGCTGAGAAATGTTCTTTATGTTATTTCAAATTATGCATCTAGTGAAAAAGAAAAGAGTCTGTCAGAGGAGCTGAACTGGGTCAGACAATAAAAGCATAATTCTTACAGTGTCTGATGCTATTTTCAGCCTTTTGTATCTTTCCCTGAGACTCCAAAAGAAAGTAAAACCCTCCTCCAGCGGTGAACCCAAGCATTGCGAAGAAAAGGTGAAATAAAGGCCGTTATTCTTCTGTCTCTCCGCCTGGCAACACTGAGCTCACTGGCAGCGCTGCAAATCAGAGGAAAGTGAACACAGTTGATGTATAACAGATTAAATGAGTCACTGTTTCATAAGTCTGAAGTTTGTACATTGGTCTAATTCTGGACATGCAACAACTTGTGCTAATGTTTCCAGTGAAAAGGTCTGAGCATGCTCTTTAAGCCTTGTGAATATGATTATTAAATGAGACAATGCCAGTTTGTGCATAGGACAGACAAAAAGATCCACCTGATTAAACTGTCCATTGTGTCTAAAGATTATCTACTTTGCCTAAGTGGAAGAGGATGAGTAGCAGATGTCCGTGGATTTAACCGGACACACTGATGCTTTTCAGTGCAGGATTTCAATTAAGTGTCTAGCAATGAAAGCTTTTTTGAAGGTATACTGTATGCAGCATTTTTCTTTGAGCAGTTAACTTAGATTCAAGTCCTATATTCTACTGACATGGCTACAGTAGAATCATGGCAACTAGTGTGGGGATCCTCGTCAAAAACCATTAACAATAAGCATCATGTATATATGTAAATATATAGGCTAAATGGCCATTTTGTTGTATTTGAAGGACAACTTAACTCACAACAAGACCATTTGGAAATCAATAACTCACCTTGTTTTCACTTAAATTCTTGAAGTTTTTCTCGCATGCCTCCATGGTGAGCAAAGAATAAAAAAACTGAGAAAAGTAAATGGGGGACAAGTAAAACAGCAACATTGTTTATCCACATGTATGCCCACTAATTTTCAAACAGATGCATTTCGTCTTAAACCTTACTATATAAATCTCTTTTTATAAATGTAAGAGTACAGTGTAACCATACTTTGTTTGTCTTGGAAAGTCTTGCGAAAAATGTGTCGCTGTAAAGTCAACATCACAGACCTCTGCCTCATTTACAGCTGAAAGACTAATGGCCCCATCCATCATCTCTACAAAGCAGATGGACAGAGACAGAGAGGTGGGGGAAGAGAGAGAGAAAGAGAAGAAAATGGAGGAAATAATTGAAGATATTTAAATAATGTGCATGATGGAAACATTGGAACACATGTGAATAGTGTCCTGCAATAAATGATGCTATCATTGGTGATTTTGTACAGGTGGCCCACAGATGGGACCCCTCCTGGTGCCCAAGCTTGTTAATGAGTCACAGATAGGAGGGGTGAGCGGGCTGACATCATGAACCAGACGGAGCCCTCTGGCAGTACAACATCGAGGTACCCAGCATGCCGTTCTCCATTATGGCGAGGTGCCCCCACGGGCCGCTGACGCTGCAGATTAACCCAAACCGGGAAGCTTTTTCCGTGCCATGTGTCTGACTGAGCAAACACTGTAGATAAATTATAATGTTCTCTCACTGTGGCTGAAAACAACAAACAGGCCTAATACAGGGCCCCATAGAGACTTATTATAAACTCTAATTAATGGTGCAGTGTGTTTCCTGATTCCAATTCCAGCATTTAATTGCTTTTTTAAAAATTGCAGTCTATTGAAACAGGGATTAGTTTGAGAGGTAAAGCCAAGAGGGATGCAAAGTGTTTACAGGTCACAGTCGAGGCCAGTGGAGGGACAAAGTTCAGGCTTAAGTGAGTGACAATACATTCAAGATTAAAGGGTTAAGTCAAGGTCTAGAAGTCTAATACTGTACTTGACTCTTTCACTATCCTTTTTCTGCAGACAATTGGGAGCTTTCTTAAATGTGAACAGCAGGGAAGTTGTGTAGATAATTAGATTTTGGTTGTGCTATGCAAGTTTTCTTTTTAAAGAAGTTGAGAATTAAGACCCCAGGGATAAGAGAGAAGAGAAAAAGGACAAGAGAAGACATGAGCAGGAGCAGATGGATAGGGGGGTTACTGTCACAAGATATTAACACATCCTCCTCATGAGGAGTTACCCTCCCAGACATTTCCAGAAAAAGTGTTGAAATACAGGAATTTTCACACCTTAACACTTTGGAAAATTGCTACATGTAACCTTGAAAAAGTTATTTTTGTCTGGCTCTTGTATGGAAAATGACACATTGTTGTAGGTCTATGCTTTGATATCTGTGTTTGTGTATCTGTTGACATAGTTCTGGTGCATTCTTGCCACAGTAATTGGACACACATGATGAGGCTAAGGGAGGGGAGTGCTG